GCCTGAATATTTTATTTTCCTCAAAAGCTGATTAACATTCTTGAACATCTAACAAGTTCGTGGTAGGATGTCAGGTAAAGTCTGTGAAATCCAGTTGGAACTGTTCAGAGAGAGAATGGAGAGGGACACCAATTGCTCTATGCTGCCATGATGCTGCAAATATCACTTCATCTGGTATGTTGAGATTGTGAAGACACTCTATCCATGAATTTTTTTCTGATATAAACAAATTTCATATATTTTTATAAGAGAATATGAATCTCTCTAGAGTTTCTCATTATTGATTTCAAAGGGCTCCATTATGTCACTCACCTTTTAATGTGGATCCCAATTTCTTGGTATGTACTGATCTATAGATCTTTTCTGTATTTCCTCTAAAAGGCTCTTATAAAAGCCAAGTGAGCCCATACCTTCAGATTTAGAACTGGTGGTATGGCTCAGTGATAGATGATTGCCTAGCATGCACAAAGCACAGTGTTCAAACCCCAGCATACCAAAGTCAAGTCCATATTGAGTGGTGATGTCTACAGTGGAGCAGGGGCAGTATTAAGACTATGGAGTATCATCAAGCCCTGTATCATGGCTGTGGGAACACTTCAGTCTTCTCAAGACTTGGTAGGCAAACAGAAGCAAAGCTCTCTTGGAGCATACTAGCCAGGATTCTCTTTCTCTTCTTGTTTATCATTGGGTTTTGAAGGTTCTCAGAGATGAGAGCCAGCCTGATTGTGGAGCATCAGTGCTGGAAGGGCTTTCTACTCATGTTGCCATGGTCCCCATCTCATCCTCTGATGAGGCCAAGGCTCTGGGAAGGTACATATCCCCAAGGGCACAGAGCCCACCAGTGCCAAAGCCTTGAGGAGGTCCAGGTCTCAGGTCTCTTGGTCTTCCTTTGTCAATCAGTATCTGACCTTACCTATGGGCCTAGTGCCTGTCACCTACCAGGCATGACACAGTGAAAAAGACACACAAGGTCCTTACTCTCAGGCAACCTCTAACCTAGAGGGAAAGGGTAGTCCAAAACTGAAATAAACAGAAACATGCAGTAAAGTGAAGTATGTATTCACAAAAGTGCTTCGATCAAGGACCTAAAACAAACAAGGGGAAGGAGAGGCCTCCCCGAGGAGGTAACATTTCCCAGACCCCAGCAGGGGGAGAGCATTTCAGGTCAAGGAATTCAAAGCCAAGGGAGGTCTATAGCAAAAAAGGAAGGGAATGCCATGTCCTGGATCTGCCTGTACCAGAAGTATGGGACAGGAAGACAGTTTGGAGAGAAGCAAGGATTTTGCAGTGCCTCGTGGGCCCTGGTAAACAGTCCAGAGAATATTGTAAGTGTCCTGTGACATGAGCAGATGCACCCTTCCTCTCCTACCCAGCACTAGGGATTAATCACAAGGTCTCATCCATTGTGGCAAGTGCTCTCCGACTGAATCATACGCCCAGCAGTGGTATGGCACTGAGCTAAGGAGCGAGACAGAAGCAGGTCAGGAAGATAGGCTAAAGGTCCCTGCAGAGTTAAGGTGAGATAGGATTGGGAGATGGCCTCAGATATGCTGGCAGAAGTGGCAAGAAGAGAGCAGATTCATGCCATATTGTGTAAAGACACTAGTGAGGGTTTGGCTAGGAGTAGGGTGGAGATCAAGTAGGAGAAGGAAGCAGCAAAAGTGGTTCTCACTTCTGGCCTGAGCGACACTTGCTCCCCAGTACCAAGAGCACTCTGTAGGAAGACTTATTCCAGTACTGTATCCAAGTCTCAGCCTCCTCCTGGCTGACAATGTCCTTTGGGGTCAGCGAGAGCCAATACTTTCCTGTTTATCAGGTGGGGAAACTGAGGCACACATGGGTTAAAGTGAAGCTCCTTAGAGAACTAATTATATAAACTAGATAAAGAGTCAGGGGGCTGGGAATGTGGCTTAGTGGTAAAGTGCTTGCCTAGCATGCATGAAGCCCTGGGTTCAATTCCTCAAGACCACATAAAAAGCCAGAAAAGCCAGAAGAAGTGCTGTGGCTCAAGTGGTAGAGTGCTAGCCTTGAGCAAAAGAAGGTCAGGGACAGTGTTCAGACCCTGAGTTCAAAGCCGCAGGACTGGCAAAAAAAAAAAAAAAGAACAAGGACTTGAATCCCAAAGCAGCCTTTGGACAACAGAGCCATGAAAACCAAGATGAAGCATAGTGAGACCTTGAACAAGTTATAAGACCTCTCCAAGCCCATTTCCTCATAGCAAGATGGGGAAGTAATAGACTGTGCCTCATGTGGTATTGCCTGAGTATTCTCAGTCCTTACTCAATATTGCTGTTGCTAGTTCCAGGCATACTGTTCAGGTTGAGCCCAGATCTTTGTAAATGCTCAGAAGACCTGGTATCTATGCTTGCCCTGTGCACAAAGGGTGTCTGTGTGCCCACATCACAGCAACAACCAGGCCCTGCCCCAGTTTCAGTAGCATCTTTGCTCTTGGTACTTCGCATTGCCTCCTGAGCCAGGCCTGTGGGCTGAAGTAGGTGCTTTCTCCCCCAGGAACATGGAGGAGGTGGGTTTGAGGCCAGGAAGCCTGTGAATCCAGCCTATTTCCAACTGCTCTAGCTGACCCAGGAAGGTGGGACAGAAGCCAGGGGTGGGGGCAGAGCTAGGGCAGGATGGGAGGGAGAGCAGAGGAACAGGGTGAGTAAGAGGGAGGGGACAAAGGAGGCTCTGGAAAGAGGCAGCCCTTAAGTAAAGGCACAATCATAGTTCTACAGTCTGGCCTGTCCAGGGCTCCTGTGGTGGGTGGTTTGGGGGAGCCTCTCCCTATATTCCTCTCCCTAACTCACCCCTCTGAGATGTCTCCTTTATTTGCCTGTTCCCAGGAGGCAATTGGCACCCAGTGCGGCAGGAGAGGCAGTTGGGCGGGGTTCCTCATTTTTTGCCCAGAGCTATTCCAAAGGGAGTGTCTCAGCAGGGTACACAGTGATTAAGGGGGAGGGAGGAGCGACATTCACTGTCCACTGCAGGACCCAGCGGGTAGGCTGGACAGCGGCCAGCTCTCCCCCAGGCTCTTGGCTGGCTGTAATACCATTGGCCCTGGCACCGCCCACTAGCCTACCCAGAGGCTCCTTCCAGAACAACGCTTCCAGGAGGGGCCCTGGGGCAGGCTGGACTGGTGCCTCCCCTCTCCTACCTCTCCCTCTAGTGGCCCTCCCCCAACTTAAGCTGGCTTTAAAAAGCTGTTCCAGTCCTCCCTTCAAAGCAGCCCTGCCCCACACCAAACATCCATAAACTAGTTCTACCCCCACCCTCATAGACCCTTGCCTAATGTTTTATCCAGTGAGAGGACATTCTGCTAACTTGTCCCATGCCTCTACCCCTTGTCTTCACTCCTGCCAACTGACAATCTCTTTTGTTTATAGCAGCACAAACTTCCAGCTGCTTGGTCCACTTCCACCTGGAGCCCTATTCACATAACATGCTTCCTATGCAATTTGGACCCCCTGGCCATTCTGTAGAAGTCACACCCTATTCCTTCGTGGACAGCACTGTATGCCCTTTGCCCACACTTCACCCCCTGTGCCTTATCTGCCCTGCAGATGATTGGTTCCGTCCCAGGGAGGTTCCTGCTGCTCCTACTCACCTGTGGGCCCTTGAAGCAAACCCCTTGTGGGTGCACAGCAAACATATTACCTGCCCAGGTCTGGGAGTGGAGCGTGGACTCACTCAGGATTGGATATTTAATTAGTGACTTTGTAGACAAAGGGATTTGATTTTTCATTCTTTGGCTTGGGTGTTCCAGGAATACGTGGGTTTTGATAAATTTTAAAAATAAACGGAGTCATTCAATCTTGGAGGCTGCCCACCTGCTCTGATGAAGTCCCTCCTCACCCCACTCTCCTTATCACCCTGCCCCTGATCTAGTGTTCCCTGCCCTCTGTTTTCCCAAAACCAGAGCCTTTCTCCCCTCAAGTTTTCCTTCTCCCCTCCTACCATGATACAGAAGAGCTTCTTTCCCCTCCTCCCCCCACCCATGGGTTTTGACAGTTTTAGGGAACCACAGAGTGACCCTTCCTGCAATGATTTTTGCCTGCCTTTTTGGGGTGTGCTTTCCTGGGGTGCCCCATCCACAGGGTGATCCCAAGAAGACATGGATCATTAATGCTGGGGTATCAGGCAGGGGCACCTGCTGGAAGGGTTTCTTTAGGGGGAATGTTCTAGGGGCTCTGAGGATCATAGCTCATGCCTGGCTCTTTCTAGGCTCTTGTGGCATTGGTATCTACTTGGTCTTTGGGATGCTCGAAGTTTGTGGTAGAGTGGCAGGCCATGGCAAAGCAACTCAGACGCTGATGTGATGTGGACATACTAGGGCAGCTGGTCAACAGGAAGGAATCCTTCCCCTGGCTCCTCCCCCCTTTCTGAGAACGGCCAGCTGTTCTGGAATTAATGGCAGTTTTCCCCAGGTGATCAGACAATTCCAAGGGAAAGAAGCCTGACAGAGCCAGCTGGCTGGAGCATCCCCACTGGTGGTTTTCAAATAGGGCATGGTGTGTGCTTTGAGGGATAGGTTGGGAAAGCCACCCCAGATGTGACGATTGGCATCTCTGGCTGACATTTGAGTCATCATTTGTGTGATGTGTGCGTTTGCTCACTGGTGGGAGAGGTGGCAGCGAAGCCCTCTTCTCAGTTCTCGTGTGCCTGCTGGACCACCACTGTTCACAGAAGCTCCTGTTGTGTGCTTAGCACCTCCGAGTCCTTCTTTTTGCTGTTTGAATGATTACTGTGCAGTGTTTGATTTGGTTAAGTTACAATCACGACCCTTTAAGGAGAAAACATATAATTCTAGTAATTTTATGGGGCTCAGGTTTCAGGCAAATGGAAACAAAATTGCCTCTAAAAATACCATATAGACACCCAGATTTGAATAAAGCGATAATAATAATAATAATAATAATAAAAGGCTTCCCTTGCCTTGAGATAAGTGAAATGTGACGGGAGGGGGAGGTACAGAGAGACCTAGGAGAAAAGAGAGGGGAAGAAAAGCTCCCGCCGCCCTTCCTTTCATTTCTGCTTTACCTTCTCCAAAGCGCTGGGTTTCCGTGTCATAAAGTGAAGCCGATCGCCACACTTGGTGAGATGGTCCTGGTCCCGCGCGCTTCCAGTACAGGTGGACGGAAAGGGGGCTGCCTGCCAAATACTTCTGGTTGGAGGGAGGGGTGAGAGTGCTCGCTCCAAACCACTCCTGGAATGGCTTGACTCGCCCGGCGCGAATCAATGACACCCTCTCGCTGGCTGCCGCAGGCTCCTGGAGCTGCGCTGCCGCGTGGATCCCCGGATCCGGACCCTGGCGGCTGGCGGCGCTTGGGGACACAGCCCCGGACAGTAGCGTGGCGTCCCGAGGTGGCCAGGTGGGTTTGCGGCGGCGGCGGCTTGGACTGAGAGCGGGGGTGACCATCAGGGACACTCTGGGGAGTCCCAGCCGAGCTGTGTGTGGGGAGACGATGGGAAGGAAGCCTATCAGGGCCTCCGGGGTAGCGCCGCGGGCGCACAGCAGCGGCCCCCACCCCTGGGCACCGCGGGCACTCCCGATCCTCGCCACGGGGACCCCCGTGGCCAGGGTGGAGCCCCAGGACGGCTCAGGTTAAGGCTCCAACCCTCTAGCCTCTCCGGAGAGCGTGTTGGGGAGCGGGGCGCGAGCGCCCCTGCGGAGCCCCTGGAACTAGGGGGCGATACCTGTGGCTTTCCGGGTCCCGTGGACCCTTGCCTGCCCACAGGCTCTTTTTCTTTTTTGAGCTAGGACTAGAAGAGGACTCTGAAAGGCAGTTGTGGATGTTACTTGGTTAGTTTAAATTTCTCCCTTCACCACCACCACCACCACCACCCCAAAAAAAAAATCCTTGGTCCTTCTGAGTGTCAGATGCAAAACTTGGGGCAAAACCAAAGCCATGGCAACTTGGCAGAAGTCTCTGGTTCCGAGGCCTTGGCAGAAATTAAAGAAAAATTGGCCCAAGTCACTAGGCGGGCTAGGGAGTTCAGTGCCTTTCGTATCCCCCAAGCTCGCATCAAATCCCGGGCTGAAAGGTAGGTAGGAGACACCCCAACTCCCCACCCCAGATAGGTAGACGTGAAAAACTGGAACTCTAGTCAAAACCCGGGTCCTGCAGGTTCCAGGCGACCTGGCGAGGGGAGCTCAGGGGGACTGACCCCATGTGTGCGCACCCCCGTGGGCGGCTCCCAGCCGGCTCCGTGGCAGTGCCTGGCCTGGGAAAGACTTTGGAAAGAGCTGCCTCCCCTTCCATCCTCCGCGTGGACCGTGAGTGTTGGGTGTTCATCCTGGTGCCCCCCGTGGTGAGGGTTCTCTGGGTGTTCCATTCTGATGCTAGTTTCTGCTGTCCAGGCTGTGCCAGGGAGCATATCTTTTGTTTAGTACCCCATACCTGGCTCTGAAGCAGTTCTGTGGTGGATGGGTGGAAGACCATTTCCCATCTCTTAAACTGCAGAATTTTGGAAATGTGAAGGAAGTGATTGAAACAATTAGGCAGTTTTCTCTAGTTCATCTAGGAAAGAGGCTTTGGGAAGAGAGAGGAATGCTAGGGGAGGGGGTGGTAAAGGGGATTTGAGGTGTGTGTGTGGGGAACCTACCAAGTTCAAGTTTCAGCTCTACTTCCCCCTCTGGCCCTCACAAGGCCTCTACTCTCCAGCCTTAGAAAAACCTCAGACACCCCCTCTGGATGAACTCTAGGAAGGGACAACAGCCTGGGTACTGCCACTATGTCCCTTTAAAGCCTATAGTGAGCTGAATGGGAAAAGAAAGCCACTCTCTCAAAAAAATTGTGCCTGACTGGGTAGATGGTAAGTTCGGTACTCCATGTGGTGTTTGGTATATTGCTCTGTGTGTGTGTGTGTGTGTGTGTGTGTACTGAAGCTTGAACTCGGGCCGGGGCACTGTCCCTTGGGGTTTTTTGTTTGTTTTTTTATGCTGGTTCTGGGGCTTGAACTCAGGGTCCAAGCACTGTCCCAGAGATTTTTTTTCTCAATGTTAGTACTCTACCAGTTGAGCCATAGATTTATTTCTGGCCTTTCTGGTAGTTAATTGGAGATAAGAGTCTCTTACATGGGTTTTCCTGCCTGGGCTGGATTTGAACTGTGTTCTTCACTTCTCAACCTTCTGAGCATCTAGGATTATAGGCATGAGCCATCAGCACCTGGCTGGTACTGCTTTCTAAGCTATCCCAAATCACCACCCTTAAGAGCCGCCACCACCATCCTCATCTATCTCATTTTACAACTGAGGACAAGGTGAACTTCCCCAGAGAGCAGTGTAGGCAGCACAGTATCCCTGGGTCCCTTGCACAAAATACTGAGGCACCTGTGCCATCCAAGTCCTGTGGCTCACATTTTGGATGACGGGACCTGATAAAACTAGATCTTACGAAGCTCCTTCTGTATGCTGCTGGCAGATACACACTCAACCCTCTAGAGAATCCAGAATCCATAGATGAGCTTTGCATGTCCATCAGTAAAACCAAGAGACCAAGGAGGAGATGCCTCCACAGTGCTGGGAAGGCCATATTGGGATCTGAAAAGGGGCTCTTGATGGCCAGAGTATCTGAGAAAGGCCTCAAAAAGGCAGTGATGTAGAGAGCCAGGGATGCAGCCCATGACAGAACATGTGCACAAAGCCCTGGGTTCAATCTCTAGCACCCTGTGAGTGTACATATACACAAATGAGGCTAAAAGGGAGGTGATATGGGAACAGAGACTTGAAGTAGGAAGATCTAGAGAGCAAAGCCTGGAGACTGCGAAGCATGGGGCTTGTCCTGCTAAGTGAGTGCTAAGAGATAAAGCTGGGAAGGCATGGCACAACCTGACGTGCTTTATGCTTTTCTTCAAATTTGCCATTGGTTATGGATGATTAGCTCCACTTTGCAGTTGAGGAAACTGAGACTCAAAGGTTAAGAAAGAGCTGTCCAGGAGGCAGAATTCAAAGCTACTTATTACATTCGACATCTTTTGGATCTTCCATCATATTAGTGGAGAAGGGAGTCACCCTGTTACATACTATTTTGTGTGGTATTAAGATCCTAAGTGTTACACATAGAATTAACTATTAGCCCAGATTTCTTTCATTTTAATCAATCTATCAGTAGTTATTCAACAACTATTATATTGGGTATTAGTGTTTCCAGGTACCATGTTAACTACTGGGCATTGGATAGTAAGTGAAATCAGCTGGTCCCCAGCCTCTATGAATGAAGGTAGGAACAGAAATACACAGCCCTCATTGGGACTGAGTGCACGAAGTGAGGCTTCACATGGGAAGGTATCATAGAAACATTGCTATAAAAACAGCAGTAGGAAGCCTAGGTGAAAATGAGAAAAGGAAGGGGCAGAGAAGTTGGAATGATAGTTGTTCTCATGTCAGTCTCTAGGACTTGTTCCAGGCTTAAGGGAACGATGTGGATTACACATAATCAGCTTGTTCCCCAAGTGCTCAGGAAGCTCTCTGAGCCCCTGCCAATCAGATGACTGCTTTAGGGTTCACAGTCATGTGTTCCCAAATGAGCCTGTACTTGGACACATCCTAGCTGGAGATGACAAGAGGCTGAGAGTAAATGGCTCCAGCAAAACCAGGATTGGAACAAAAGTCTCTTGACTGTGGTTCTTATAGCAGCTTTCCCTGGCTAGCCAAGACAGTTTCAGGGCTCAGAAGAGAGCAAAGACCCCCTTTCTCCACTGTGTCTGCATTTACAGTATCATTCCCTGAGGCTCTGATCCTTCTCTGTTTTAGCTAACCATTTAGCTCTCTCTTAATAGAGTGCTGTTGGATGGATATTTGAGACAAAGCAGTCATAAATATTCTGGGATATCTGACCTGTTAACTCTCCTTCCATCTTGTACGGTATAGTTAGTATAAAACAGCTACCTCTAATATTAACTGTCACTTTAAGGATGGTGAATTGATACCTCTGTCTCAAAGCACTTGCCCATCCAGGTGATACTCTGAGAGCTTCCTTTACCACAGCTGACAGCACTGTCCAGGAACATATGTTTCCTCTTCTTCCTTAAAAACAGAGAAGACAAGGAAGAAAAACCCTCCTAGGTCACAATGCATTTGATCTTTCACATAGCATTGCCAGAATAAGACATTTTTCTTCCAATACTGAGATGACCAGCTTGATGAAGGTAGCAAAGGAGTGCTGCACTGGCTGTCTTCAGTGTTTATAGCAATTACACAGGTGTATAATTGCACAGGGATGTTTGTTTGCTCAGTCAGTGTGTAGCCCTACAGGTTGGGCCAGGGAGAGGGCTGTTCAGTTTGTTTTCCTTTGGCTGGGAACTGCAGAAATGAATAGAGGGAGGGGAATCAGGTTGAGAGATTGTTGCCAAGAGCAATTTGGAGTCTCCTTCATATTAGTCAGAGATCATGTTTTTCCTTTCTGAAGCCGCATGCCTTGTAGCAACTTCTACAAATGGCTTTTATTTATTTATTTTTTGTGGTGTGTGTATGTGTGAGTGTTCACACACACGTTTTAGTTTTTGTTTTGAATTTTAACTTGCTAGACTTCTCATGACTAAGCAAAATTAATTAGTTTAGGAAGTGGGGGTGATGAAATGGGCCCCTGATATCATACATTTTACATGTCATTGCTTAATGAATTTGAATACTGATCAACCTTGAGGTATCATGATGGGGTACAATGAATAATTCCTTTGAAGGGAAAGTTTATCTTCAGTGGATGACATTGAAAACTGAAGCATAATTTCACTTTCCCTCTATATAGCTTGATCCTGTGTTTACACAAAGAGGAATACTTGCTCTCTTCTGTTGCATTTGCTTTTGCTCTGTTTGGAAGTTCCCTCTACTTGGGCCTGACTTGAAAGGAATCTACTCCAATAGGCCTCTTTCTAGCTCACTCTCACCATGCACCTCCCTCCACCATTATAAGAGGCATGCAGGCTCAGGGAGCCCAGAACAGAGAATGTTGCCTGGCCCTAGCCAGCCTCTTCTAGGACAGGAGCCCTGGTGCAGGCTGTAATCTACCAGTCAATAAGTAAGTCTATCTACTGAACAAATTGAATGAACCAACTTCAAGACCCCAGACTTGAAAAATCACCTAATAAGACAGTGTATAAATCTCTATTGTTTTTTTTCAGATTAGATACAAACCAGATGCAGATATACACATGACCTGAATGATATATAATTGGACTTGGCCTTCAGGAAAATCTGTGCTGCCTGCACACATGTATGTACACATGCATGCAGGGCTCTTGCCTGGTTTTATCTATGGATTCTGGCTGACTATTGAGTTATTTCTGCAGATAAGACTGGCCCACTGGTCTTCATGGAGCTACTGAAAAAGGCCACTGGAGAGGGGACCCTGCCTCTGTTAACACCTGCCTT